TTATGAATTTGTCTATAAATGTATGTCCCTGAGACCATCATGATAATAGTCATTTAGGCATGTAGAATATCTGTATAGCAGCTTTCAGTTGAATGAGATTAAAAAATTTACTATCATTTAAGGAAAATCTAAATGCAAATAGTCCTCCCTTATTTCTAGGAGATATTTTATAAGACCCCAAGGGCATGTCTGAAACCTCAGATAGTAAATCTCTACCTATATATACTATGTTTTTTTAATACATACATATCTATGATAATTTAATTTATAAATTTAGGTACAGTAAGAGATTAGATAACAATAACTAATAATAATAAAATAGAACAATTGTACCAATGTAGTGTAAGAAGTGTTATGTGAGCATGGTCTCTCGCTTTTAAGAGAGCTCAGTGTACTATACCCACCCTTCTTGTGATATGTGAGATGATACAGGGCCGATGTAATGAGATGAAGTGGGTTGGATGATATTGGTATGTGACATAGTGTTAGGCTATTCTTGACCTTCTGACGATATGTCAAACTTATGAGTTGTCTATTTCTATAACTTTTCATTTAATGTTTTGGACCAGGGTTGACTGTGAGTAACTGAAGTTATGTAAGGCAAAATTGTGAGTGGAAAAGCTGGAATGAAAACTTTCCTGGGATCCTTTTGTCCTAATATTCTGAGACCCATTGTAGTTTCTGTTTTCTTTCTATCTTTCTTTTTTTTTTTTTTTTTCTGTTTTCTCTTTGATGAGAAATGAATGCCTAGTAGGAAGACGTTGGAACAGTTAGGCAAATGGATTTAAGTCCTGTTGGTGCTCAGATTCTCAGCCATGACGTAAATTGTGGTCATATGGGCTGGGTCCACTCACCTGAAGCTGGGACTTCACTGCTAGCTCCTGGTAAGATGGGGACTGGGAGTCAGCAAGCTCTGCCTTGAACAGCTGGTTCACCAGAGAGATGATCAGTTCCACCTTCTGCTCCAGAGGGCCCTCAGGCACAGTGAATTCTCTTTCTCCTTCCTGAGTCAAAAAGAAAGGGGGAGTTCTATTTGTACAAACCACAAACAAATGACTATATTATATAACATATATTGATATTGTCTCAAGGAGTGAATCATAAAGGTTCATGTGCTTTTGAATAAAAGCTCTCTCAACTAGAAGTGGCCCCTGAATCTCAGTGAGAGACAAGTATCAGGGCTCCAGTGAGCAGTCTGTCATTTTATGGCTGTGTGGTTTTCATGAAAGCATCGACTTACATGCACAAACACACACATCCTCTACACACACATGAACATACGCCCACACACACACATATATTTATTACATATTTATTGCTGGTGCATCACCAGGATTGTCCCACGTCACTGTGTTACTTTATAAATACTACAGTGAGGGCTGCATTAGACAAAATAGCATGCAGATGCCAAGATATTATTTGATACATTCTTTTTTTAGAGTCGACTAATTTAATTGGAACATTTGAGCTTAAACTTCACATTGAAATTATTTAGTTAGAAAGTATTTTCATGCCAAGAGAGGGTCTGGAATTTCCCTAGGAAGGAACAGCACTTCTGGGCCCCTGGGGATGCACATGGCTAAGGACAGAGCACTATTATGATGCTGCGGGTTTGGCCTCTCTCCCAAAGGCCTAGGGCTCATCCTTCTTGCCCAACTGGCCTGGGAACCAGCAGGGGCTTCTCACTGCTCTGAATTCACATGGGCTACCAGGGCCCAGAGCAAGCCTGGAGCTGGTTTCAAACTTGGGTTTGACAGATGTTCTGTGTTGGGTGCCCAGATGGTACTGAGATCTGCTCAGCTTTCCCTCAAAAGAAAGAAACATGTCTGTGGAAATGGAATGTCTCTGGTGACAAGCGTAGTTTCTTATAGTGAAATTAGAGTTAAGGAAGCTGAAAGTGGAGAAGGACCAGGGGAAACTGCCGTGTAGGAGATGATGGATTTCCTCCTCCTGTCACAAACGCCCCTCGTCCATGAGGATGGACAACAGTACAGCCTGCAACTTTAGCAGGACACAGGAGGGTGTGGATTCAGAGACTTCTGATGTTTGTTTAAAAGAGCTTCATTCACTCAAAAATCACACACTGAGTATCTGTCTGAGTGTAGCACAGTGCTGGGATCAGTGGGCCATTCAAAGAAAAGTGTGGCACATGGTATTATCTAGAAACTTATTGGTTCACTAGGCAGATTTGAAGCTTATATAAGACATTTATTTTCATTTTTATTTTTCTGAGATGGAGTCTCACTTTGTCCCCCTGGGTAGAGTGCTATAGCATCATGGCTCACAGCAACCGCAAACTCTTGGACTTAAGTAATTCTCTTGCCTCAGCCTCCCAAGTAGCTGGGACTACAGGCACCTGCCGTAACACCCGGCTATTTTTTTAGAGATGGGGTCTTGCTTTTGCTCAGGCTGGTCTCAAACTTGTGAGCTCAAGCTATCCACCTGCCTTGGCCTCCCAGAGTGCTAGGATTAAGGGCATGAATCACGGCACCAGGCCAAGACATTTAAATAAATTCTTTAAATATCTGAGTGAGGAGTCTCTTGACTTAGCCTCAGCCACCAGATTAATTTTTCATGCTTCTCACCTAGCACCTTCAGACACACAGTTTACAAACCAGACTTTTTCCCTGGTATTCAAGGTTCTCCACAGTCTAATTCCAACTTGTTTGAAAAATTTTAATTCTCCTCTGCCCTGACTGCGGGGCCTTCTGTTCATGGTGCTGAGATGCCTCATTGCCTGTGCTCATCTCCTGACTGCAGCTCCTCCTCCCTGGACTCCAGCCCCTGCCTCCTGCCTCCAGCAATGACACACACACACACACACACACACACACACACACACTTTGCCTCTTCTTACCAACTGGGCTAGAGGAAATCTTCCCTCCTCTGAACATCAGAACTGCTCATTTGGCCCCTGTCATGCAGTCCCCTGGAGTCTTTTTGCCACCCCACAGGTAATCAATCCCTTGGATTCTGCATGATTCTTACTCTTCAATGAATCCCAAAGCAAAAAGCACAGGGACATTTATGCACAAACTCTCAGAGAAGACACATGACTGAGGTCACCCCTCTGCATCCTGTCCTAGCATATCATTTTGTCCCAGGCTGTATGCTGCTGTCTTCAGCCACAGCTCTTACACTATGTTCTGGTACCTGATCACATTAGAAATTCCCCGAAAGGAGGGATGGCGTCTTGTTCATCTCAGGATCTTCAGTGCAGAGCCTGACGCCCGGCACATCAGCAGATTTTTGTAATGTTTGCTAAATGAAAGGCTAAGTGATAGATGCAGGCGGTGAAAAGGATATTAGGAGGATGATGCAATGAATAAGAACTGAAATATTAGATGGGCCACGGGGATGTAAGAGAAGAGAAACGACAGACTGAAACGTTGTAGGGAATAAATATTGAGTGACAGTCAGCAGAGTTTTTTTCCCAACAGCTATTTTCACTGTTGATGGAGCAGCATTTTTCAGAATAATACAGTATTTTCATTTTTTGTTCGTGCCAATAGTTCAACCAACCCCCCAGCCATCTGGCTTAAAGGGTAGATACAGTGACCAGCAGGAGCTAATCCCTGATTTCTCGTGCAGAGCTGTGGAGACTAAACTCTGTGCTCTGGTCCAACAGCTTTGACTTGTGCCTCCAACAGGGGTTGAAAGGAAGCGGAAGGACCAGAGCCGCTGCCCAGCCTGGGCCCGAGGATGAGAAGAGCCAGGCTCTGGCCGCTGCTCCTTATCCTCACGCCATCTCCTACGGTGGCTCCCTGCTTTGGCCCTGGGTGTCTGGTCTCAACTGTTGAGGGAAGTTACAATCCCCCCCTTTTGATAACCAACATTACTTTCTGCAACTGTTCTCTCATCTGCCCACCTTTTACTCAGAGAGGGACAAGTGCCCCACTTTGCCTTAGAACATGATTTATTTTTCCAGCTTGATGCACAGGATTTTGATCAGTTTGATTTCTATGTGACCTATTCCTGCTGGAGAAGACGGAGAACAAAACCTTCACTCTTGCTGTCAACAGGGGATTCTACTGCAGTGGGGAAAGACCTCAGTGACTGACGGATGGACCCGCTCATTCTAATACTTGGTGACGCTAACTACAGAATATATAAGGGCAGTTAAGTACTGGGGGGAGGGCCCCTGCCCTCCAGAGCTTAGATTAAGTTGTTTCTTGTCATTCTTCCCACTTTATCCTAGTCCTCAATCTATTTTTTTCCCTCTCTGTTCCTAGCAGAGGTGAGAATACTGTGACCAGGACAAAGCCACTGACTCTTAATTACAGTGATGAAAATACAGCACTGATATTGCCCAGTGGCCAGTTCATCCATTCTCTTTTCTTGTTTTGCTAAACGAACAAAAACAGGCGTGTGAAGAGTGAGGATCTACCCTCGGAACTTACTGCTGTGTCATTGAGGAGTGTGTCATCAGGAGGGAGAAGGAAGGGCTTGAATGAGACATCGGCAGCATCTGTGGGAATTAAAAAAAAAATCACAGACCCCAAAATGAGAAACTTAAATTAGAACAAGGGCAAAATCCCATATGCTTTTTCTGTCATTCTTCAATTTACAGATGTTTGGTGGATTCTAAACTCATATTTTTAAGATCACATAAATATGTCCTTGAAAAAATATGACTCATACTTTGTAAAAATCTTAGTTAAATTCTTCATTCTACCTCTTTAGGACCCAAGTTTTGTGCTACCGTAGCTGCGTTCCAGTCTAATGCTTTCGCCTGATGGGATCCCATTAATTTTCCTTTCTGAGACTATATAAAAGATGCATAGACGGGTATTTACCTGGAATGTGTTCTTCTGAGAAAAGTTTTCTTAGGACACTTCCTAAGTCTTTAAAATTTAGATTGCTTTAGCAATCATTGAGCCATAGAATTTTAATCAGAAATTCCAAGAGACAGAGAACATAAAGTTGTTGTTGATTTCACTCCTTTTAGAACAGACCACTGTAAGCCGTGCCAGATATGTGGCCAGGTCTGGATGCATTTAAAGATCTCCATAGAAGGGAAGTCGAAGCGTTTTTCATGTTTTTTAAAAAGGCATCATTGTAATACAAATGCATTTCTATTTATAAGTTATTATTTTTAAAGTGCTCAGGGAAAATAGTGTTATAGTTAATTGTCTTATATTTAGGTGGAAGTAACTTTCCATTTCAATCTTAATTAGGCAAAAACATAGAAAGCATTACTTTATTTTTGTGTTTAGAAAACAGGATATACCCCAAAATGAATTTCTCTCTCCTCACTTTTTGAAGAAGTGATGTGATATCTGGGAATCAGCAGTCATAGGGGGTCACTTGTAAGTGGGAGGTTCTGGGAAGTCATTGTACTGGGTGTGGAATTGTGGTTCCTAGTGATGGGGGTGCATGAGGGTGGTTACCAGAATCATCTGGGAGAAGAGTTTTCCTTTTTTGCCTAATAAAATACATATCAGAATCTGAAAGGATGTGGTCCCTGTCATTTCTCCCTTCAGCCCTAGCTATAAGCATTTAGGATGGATGTGTTTCTGTATCCTGAATGTCACCAGACGATTAACAACGTCAAGTGTCTTCAGGTTTTATAATTCTATAAATAATCTGTTCATACCAAGTTTTTTGGTTACAGTAAAAAGTTCTTGGCTATTGTATTGGAAGAATAAATTTTTTGCTGCTATTTGGGTATCCTTCCATTTTTATTGCCTTAGAAAGAGAAATTATCCACCCCATGAAAACTCAGAACAGATGTAGGCCTCAGAACAGGCCAGGGCTTATGTTCCAGGCTATTTCGCACTCCTTCTATTTCAGAGATGTCTCTCTCTTCCCCTCTGAGGCACCTCATGGCATTTCTCCATCAAAATTTTGTCTCAGGAAACGTTACTGTAACTGACAAATTCAGTTACAATCAGTGAGCGACCCCACTTACTGTCCTTCTCTCCTAGGGAGTGGTGCGTTTACATTTTAAGGGTTCAGGTTAAAGATGAGGGAAACAGTTTTTGAATTGCACACTGAAATATCCATGTTCCAGTGCACCTGAACGTTTTATCGATAACGATGATGGAGGGACTGGGCTGGAGAATGAAAGTTAGGAGAAAAAATAGTTTTCTTTTGAGTAAAGTCTTCAGAGCATCTCCAAGTGTACATGGTTAAGATTTTCTACTGTCTGTATGAGATCAGCACTGGGGCTCTCTCTGAGAACAGCGATGAGAGTTGCTTTCATTGTACTTAGGGTCTGGCAGGTTTTGTTTGTAGCTGCATTTTAGAAATTATTATATCTTTAAATTTCGGATTAATATGAGGGTACAGAGGATTAGGTTTACGTTTGTTAGGTAGAGTCCGAGTTATAGTTGAGCCCTTCACTCAGAAGGTGTGCCATCTACCCTTACATGTTTCCTGTCAGGTGAGAGCACAACCCCTTCCTCTCTGTCCTTCCCCCTCTCCTTCCCCTCCTCTCTCCCCTTCTCTTCCTCCACACTTGAATGCAATTGTGTTTTACTCTCATGAGGACTTACATTTGTTCGTCTACTGGTTTCATATTAGTATTGAGTACATTAGATACTTGCTTTTCCATTCTTGTGATACTTTACTAAGTAGAATGTTCTCCAACTTTATCTAGGTTAGTACAAAAGATGTAAAGTCTCCATCCTTTTTATGGCTGAAGAACATTCCATGGCATACATATACCACAGTTTATTAATCCATTCATGGGTTGATGGGCACCAGGGTTGTTTCCACAGCTTGGCGATTGTGAATGGAACTGCTATAAACATTTGAGTGCCCATGATAAAATGACTTTTGTTCTTCTGGGTAGATACCTAGTAATGGGATTGCGGGATCAAATGGAAGGTCTACTTTTAACTCTTGGGAGGATTATCTGTACTTCTGTCCACATAGGTTGTAATAGCTTGCAGGCCCGCCAGCAGTGTAAAAATGTCCCCTTTTCTCCACATCTTTACCAGCATCTGCAGTGTAGCAGATGTGTACAAGTATCTGCATGTGAATCTCAGCCTTAGGTGTCCAGGAGGTCTGAGGAAATAATGCTAAAACATTTGTTGCTGGAACTCTAATAGATAGTGGTGATTCATTATGTCGTATTGTATCATTTGTCCACTGTTCTCTCAAAGTTTTTTTAAAGAACAAAATGAAAAACAATTTATATCAAAGAGTTCATTTTAACTTACTGTTTAGTGTATCTTACTAAACTTAAACTTGTTTTGTGAAAGCTTCTATCAGCTAAAATAGACTAACTGTAAATTCTAAAAATAGAAGTACAAATTTCCCATGATTGCATTAATGTACACAGTTATGCTATAAGAAATAATAAAGGAAATTTGAATGGGAAAAAAAAGAAATACAAATTTCAATTCTTTCATTAATTTTGGTTATTTTCCAGTGTTAAAAATGTAGTGCAAAACATCTTTTTATATTATTCCTTCTATAAATTATACTTTTTTGAATAAGACATTATTAGATGCCACAGGTCAAGTTTGAGCTGTTGATAAGAGCTCTTAACAAATATGTGTCTTCTTATTGTTGAAAATGTGTTTTACCACGAACATTTGTATAATTGAAATTGACCTAGGATTGCTGTACTATTAGCTGCCAGTCAGTCTAGAAATGGTAAATTGGCTGACCTTACAAAAGGTACTAAAATATAGTCACAGCTTTCTGAAATACTGAAATATGGCTTTCTCTGCATGTCAATAAATAAAGAAATGGGAATATACTATTATCATTTGTTTAAAAATCTCTATTTTCTCAATTTATAGATATTTGGTCATAAAAATTTGGTTTCTTGAAACATTATTACATAACTAAAAGTCAAATATACCGAGGAAAAAATTGCCAAAAAGATATTTTTACATTCTATGAGGTCTGGCAATTAAGTGTGAGAACTTGCCCTGTAGGCTTACATTGGCAGCACTGTACAAACAGCTCGGCCAGGTTTCATAACCTACGTATATCAGTGTCTCACAGATGTGTTAGTGTCAATGTGTGGTAGTATCTCATTCATTACTGTTATGTTTTTGTGTGCTGTATAACACAGCTGTGATAGTTATTATGGAAAAGGAGTTCCAACATTACTTTGAAGGGTGCTGGGATCAATGCATAGCTTCTCAAGAGAAGCACTTCAAAGGTGACCATAGTGATTGATATTCAGCAATGACGTATGCAGCACTTTTTCTAGGATGAGTTCTCAGACTTAATTATATCTCATATATTTAAAAGTATTCTTAAATTATATGGGAAAATAGAAATGCTTTAGTAGAAAAATACATGAATGAGAAAATTTAAAAATCTAATAAAAATAGAAAATATTATTTTCCCTTTCCTTTTGGCACACGTTAAAACAAATAGGACCATTTAACATCAGCAAATGTGCAATGAGACAGACTCTTTGACCAGTGTGTTATGTAAATTGTAACAAAATTTCTGGAAAACTAATTTGGCAAAATCTATGAAATGCCTTAAGATTCATAGTTTTTGATTTAGTAGTAGTCTATTTTAAGAAAGCAATGATTTGACCAAGATTTCGGTCTACATATGTTTATTAAAGCATTATTTGTGGCTGGGTGTGGTGTCTCACACCTGCAATCCCTGTACTTTGGGAAGCTGAGGCAGGAAGATTGCTTGAGACCAGGAGTTTAAGACTAGCCCGAATGATACAGTGAGACTTTGTTGCTGTAAAAACTAAAATGTTTAACCAGGCGTGGTGGCATTTCTGTAGAATGCCATCATGCCTCTTGCTACTCAAGAGGCTGAGGCAGGAGGATCATGAGAGCCCAGGAATTTAAGACTGCAGTGACCTATGATCATACTACTGAACTCCAGCTTTTCTCAAAAAATAAAATAAAATAAAGCATCATTTGTAACAGGCTTTAAACACAACAATGATAGAATGGTCGCATTGATTTTATTTGTATAAATATAATAGAATTTTGGAAGTCATCAAAATGATGATTGAAGTTTTAGTGCAACTATAAAATTCTCTTTACATTAATCATGTTAAGTGAAAAAAAGATACCAACTCTAAATATGGTCTTAGTAATACATAAACATAATAAGAGAAAGATGGCAGAAAATAGGCAAAAATGACAATATTGTTTCTAAATTGTAGATGATAGAAGATTTGGTTTTACCTTTTTTGTATATTTTCTAAGTTTTATACAATAAAATCTAAATTATTTTATAAGGTTAGGAATATGAGTTAGTTCTGAGAAAGTCATTATAAACTTTGTTAACTTCAACTAGGTATTGCTTTGTAAATAACATGCTTTCCTGATGATTTGAATTAAAGTTTGGAAGCAGACGAAATGAGAGCTAACCTTACCTGTTGGAAGCACAGGGGCCTCACTGGGTTCTCCCAGTGTCTCTTCTGTAGATATTTCATCTTTCCTATTAGGTCAATGAGAAGAAAACAGAGGTGGTGACAAGGAACTTGATGACAGTAGGGGACATACATTTAAATTTGCCTATGCTGAATAGACCTAAAAATGAGAAACAAAGTTTACTTTAAAACTGGAGAGGTAATATTTGAATGTATTCTCATGGAAGAAAAATTCAAACAACCTCCTAGAATGGTTATGTTTGACTCTAGGGTTTTCCATATGAGTTGTGTTTTGTGTGGTCTCAGGGAGCTTTTCTGCAGTAGGTGGTGTGGACCTTTAGGGCTCCATGTTTTACAGTTTTATAGAACCTCTGGATTCTTGACAATTGATGAAGTATTCTGTGACTGAAATATTCCTGCTAAAATCCCAGACCCTCAAGCCTGCCTCTCTAGAGACCTTAAGCTTATCTTATAACGAAACTTTTGTGGTTAGAGTAATGGGAGAGAAGTTGATTTCTAGATAATGTAGGTGGATTAAATCTGCATTCTGGACACAACCATTGTCTACAATGGCAACCACCCAAGGACTTGGGGACAGGCTTGCAGTGGCATGTAATGATAGTGTAGCAGATGTTCTGGGGGGCCAATCCAAGGTCATGGTGGCAAAGCTGTCTGCGTATAATGTTGGCCCATTTTAGCAAGTGTTATTTAGAAGGGAGTATTGATAGTGATGTTTTTTGAAGCTCACTGAAAAATTTGTTGCTGTCCACTATTAGGTACCACAGATTTGTGTTTGTATTAGTATAATATAAAAGCAGTTGACCAATATATTTGATCTAATTATCTGTGGCTCATGATTATGGTAAGATCAAAGGGAATGGCTAGATGTTCTATTGTTTCAGAGTCATCTAGACTGGTCATAGCCAATAGTACCACCTACATATCTCTGCTACACCCAATTCTGCCAACGTGCTAATTAAATATAATATATAAAATATTATTAATCAGCCTGGCACTGCCTCTGACCAGCCACAATAGATGTCAGACGTAAACATGGGTGACCACAGGGGTGCACACAGGCCAAATATAAACTAAGACCAGCAGGGAGAATGGGGACTGAAGACCCTATTCTTGGCAAGGGAAAACACCCCCAGAAGAGGGGAAAACCAGAAATAAGCTGAGCAAGGTGGAATGAAACCAATTTAGCCAGTCTTCGTTTAATATAACAGTTGAGTTACCCATCTGGGCAGTTTCTGCTTTTACTGGAAGCCTGGTCTGTAAGGGATACAGCATACAAACACCCCTCCTGGGTCTGTAAACACTCTGGAGAACAATGGCTGTAGCAGAAGCTGTGTGCAAGGCCTGGGAAGGAACATTAACTAGGCCACCTCCTGCCCAGTCAATAGTCAAAGCAAATACCCGCTGTGGGGATTTGTATTATGGCCAGGGCAGAGATCAAGGGAACAGCTTGAGCCCTGAGATATGGGCAGGAGGCTGGTACACTAGCCAAGGATATCCTGCCCATATCTCATGGAGATAAGGTGAAAATTCCTCTTTTCTACCAATTCTTCCCAGGAGGCCTGACTCCACCATTATCTGCTCTGCAGAGAAATTAGAGGGGTCTAACCTCTCCCCAAGGGATCTGTGTGTGTGACCCCAGACAGGAGGCTGCCCCTACAGAAGGCTCAGGTTCCAGATTTCTTAAGCCTGCACAGACCCATAAAGTTAGTGATTATAGATACAATGAGATAATAAATATGTGTTTATTCCGAGAAACTGCTGACATTTTTATTCTCTTCCTCAGCTTGTCCTCTCAGCTAAATGAGAAAATAGCCTTCAATAAAAGCTGGGTGGAACAAACCCAGGGCCACTCATTGAAGCCCCACAGGCTAACGGTGGACCCCTGTGCCCACTTTTTAAAACTCTGTTCTCTGTGTCCTGTCTCTCTATCTCTCACTGCTTTTAATTTCATTTTTCCCAGTTGATCATTGCCATTTCCACAGGTCTTAAAGGACCCCGTGCCTGGGGCAGGACTTCTGGCAGACTCCATAGTGGAATCTGGGACCAGCTATTCTTGTTATTTTTTTCTGGTATTATACTGTGCAGTTAATAAGTAGTTTTTAATGGAGAGTATATTTAATAAACTCTCATCGCATCAAATATTATTGTGTTTAGACAATTTTTAAAACTTTGTAGATCTTTGTTTATAGCGAGAGCTCCCTTCCTCCCAAATGACTTGCCTCCTTGTTTTTCCCAGGAGAGTAGATAGTAAAATGCTGCTGTGGCTTTAGTTACACGTTAATAGCTCCCATGTGCAAGACTCCGTGTGGGATGCCATCTCCTTATCCTTCACTAAAAGGTGTGATTCCGCCACTCCACTGCCGATCTGCACTATCACCCAGGAGCTCGGCGTTGGGAGCTGAGCACTTGGTCCTTCCACTAACTTTTATTTCAAAGTCATTTGAAATTGGCAGATTTATGGGCTAGTCAGGTGAGAAAATTTTCTGTTTCATCTTCTTGGAAAGGTTCTAAGTAAAAGAGAATTTATTTTCTTTTTTCTTTTTTAAAACAATTTGGTAACCATAGCTAATGTAAAATGTCTGTTTTATGCTTCTTCCTCTCTCCAGCGGTGCTCGCGGGCACAGCGGTGGATTATATAAATGCTTTTCTTTCTTTCTCTTTCTTAGATAATTGTTTCTTATAATTATTAATATGTATAAGCATTTGACAGATCCTTTTGATTTTTTTCTTATGGATAGACTCTGCTTGGCTCTCTTTCTTTTGTCTCTTTCTTTCTTTTGAACATGGAGGAACCAGTAAAGCATCATCCTATGTGAGGGTCACTGTGAATGTTTTGAGACAGACTGTGTTGTCAAAGACCATTATTTCACTTCCAAGAAACACAGTTGACAGAGACCTTTCTGATTCACCCATGCGAGTTTCAGCGTGCTCAGCTTTTGGTGTTGCTGAGAGGGTTTCATTTGCGTCTGTCCATCTGGATTATACATTTCATGGTTTTTTGTGTATCTCAAAACTTTCGTAATGACCCATGTATTTAAATTAGAGTTGTCAGTATGTCTGTGTCCTGAGAATCAAGGCAATGCTCCAGTACTAGGATTTTCCTAAGTCATGTTGTTTTAGAATTCCTAAAGCAGAGGCTTGGTAGACACGACTGACAACCTCAAACATATAAGGACTTTGCTCAGTTTTGTGCAGGAGGTGGAAAAGTAGGAAACAGACCCTACTCTTGAGGAGTTTATACTCTCACGGGAAACAGGAGAAAGAGAGGAAAGGTTAAATAAAAATCTAGGTGCTGAATGAGAAGTACAAGTGGCAGGGAGAGTTGCTGTGGCCTCAAATAGGCTTTTGGTGGGACTCTGCCTGGGGCTTGGCCAGGAGCAGCCTTTGTCTGGGAGGGGTGTAGGAGGCAGGTTCTTCCAGGCAAGAGGGAAAGGCTTGGGGCCAGATGAGGGGTGTGTGTCTGTACCCAGTGTGTGTGTTGGGTGTCAGCAGTTGGATCCTGGCTAATGGGAGGTTGAGGTGGAACTGTCGGGGGTGTAAGGTCGTGACTAATCAGGTGGGTTTCTGCCTCAGTCAAGGTCCCAGCAGGAAACATACTTCATACCTCATACCTCATACCTTTGAACACAGTTTAATGAAGAGATTATGTACGAAGTTGTGGGAAAAGTGGAAGCACAGACACAGGGAGAGTGCAGTGCCTGCCGGAGGGCGAGTAACAGTGGGGTGCTGGGACTGCCCCAGGCCAGGACAGGGGAGAGTAATACCCTGAGGCAGAGATAGGGAAGGCTCTGGGGAAACAGGCCTGATGGGAGCTGAGCTGAGCTGAAGCTGAAGGAGATGGTGACCCTCAAGGACTCTGCAGGTCTGTGTGTGTGTGTGTGTGTGTGTGTGTGTGAAAGAGAGAGAGAGAGAGAGAGAGATATCAAGATCCCCTGCCTTCATTCTCCTCCTGGTGCCAATGAGAAGCCAGAGGGCAGAGACGTTCCTTAACCAGGCAGTTCTCACCACACAGCCTCCCGCACACAGGTGGGCTGGAGCAGGATGGGGAGTGGACATTCAGAAGGGCAAGGAGAAGACGCACAAATCTTCTGAAAGTCATTGAGAGAGGTTTGATATAACAAAAAATAGTTCAGATTTATTTATTAACCTAGCAGTAGTTATGCAAGTTAAGGAGAGATTAGGACAGGGACCCCTATTAGGGAGAATGGATCCCGCATTTTTCACAGAGTGAATTAATAGGGTCTTGGATGAAGTGGACAGCAAAGGGAGCAGAAACAAAGAACAAATGTGGAAGGCTCGAGGAAGTCTCACCAGTAACTCACAGGCCTCATTTGTGTCTCTCTTGGTAGTTTGTCTTCAGATTTAGATTTTGAGATGTTTTATGTATGTGTTTTGTGAGTTTAGAGTTTGACAACATCTCTCTTCTTTAATCATTTTATCTAATGCATTTCTCCTTTCCTTTCTCTTCCTCTTTTCCTTGTTTTGGTTGCATTTTAATTTTCTTATTTGATATTCAATTCTTGTTGAAGATATAGCTCAGTGCTTTAGTACTTTAATTTGAGAAATACTAACACTTTACAGAATACCAAATAAGAATTCAAAATTCAGGTCACTCTTTGATTGTATTAAGTATTTTCCTGATGTGACTAACAGTTTACCATACGTTCTAAAAATCAAATTATTTTAATGGCTCTAGATCTTATAAGCGAAGATACGCATTAAATACATATCAACCAGTGATCAATTCATTTTATCTGAAAACAGTGCAGACATCTATCCCAATCCATAAGGTCTTCCCATTTCCCTTTAATGTTCCGTTTGTCCTCAGCCCAATCTATGCATGAATTGTCTGTCAGAATAACCTACACAGATCTTCATGGCTGACATCAAATTAAAAAGGTACAATTGCTTAGTTTCACTCTATTATATGATCTTTCTGAAGTCAAGAGCACACAGCACTCTATTTTGGATACTTACCTCTCAGGAAAGCTTCTCTGCTTTATTCTCTGCAAAGAGAAGAAAGGTAATTTGACCAGGAGACAATGCCGGCTGGGGAGCTGAAGTCTTTTTTTCTATTTTCATTCCCTTCTATCTTCAGCTACATTTCAATCTGTCTGTACAATATTATTTTGCAAGAATAAACTTTCTTTTGGCCTTTATCAGATATCTCCAAGCATTTCTTCTTTTTCCTTTTTTTCTTGAGACAGAATCTGATTCTGTCACCCTGGGTAGAGTGCTGTGGCATCATATCTCACAGCAACCTCAAACTCTTGGGCTCAAGTGATCCTCTTGCTTCAGCCTCCTAGTAACAGGACTATAGACATCTGCCTGTTAGTTTTTCTATTTTAGTAGAGACGGAGTCTCACTATTGCTCAAGCTGGTCTTGAATTCCTGAGCCCAAGCAATCCTCCTGCCTCGGCCTCCCAGATTGATGGGATTACAGGCGTGAGCTACTGTGCCTGGCTAACCAAGCATTTCTTTAACTAACCCTCATGCTGATGGAAACCACTTCAAAGGGAGGCTGGGGCTGGAGGCCTGGGAGCTCTTTGGCTAGTGTTCTGACAGCCAGGCATTGTTTAGACTCACCTGCTGTAGAAGATCCAGGTGCTCCTGGGAGTTACTGAAGTTATTCCCAATGTCAAAGAGGCAGAAGGTCTCCTGCTGGCAGACGCTGACCCAGTCTTGGTATTCCGCTGTGTCGGGTATGCGATCCAGAAAGACCCGATACGCTTCCCACACCACTTCCTGACACACTGCAATACAGAGCCGTCATGGTGGAAAATGGCCACGTCTTCAGAAGACCTCTTTACCCCAACGTGGATACAACCTCCCAACATGGAAAGCTCTTTCATGTTGACACAGTAAGTACAAGCCCGTAGAAATTCATTCATTTAATGCATACTTATTAAGCACCTACTATATGCTATGGAGAATAAGAACAGAAAGAAAATAGGGATTGGGCATTTATTCAAAGGAAGAGAAACCAGTATATTGAAGAGTCATCTAGATGCTCATGTTTATTGCAGCACTAATCACAACAGCCAAGATGTGGAATCAACCCACGTGTCCACCAACAGATGAATGGACAAAGAAAATGTGGTGTATATACACAATCGGACATGAGATAGCCATAAAAACAGTGAAATCCTGTCACTCTACCACATGAATGGAACTAGGAGATATTA